ATGCCGATCTCGTCGTACTGCGTCTTGTTGCCTCCTGGGGGGACCTGGGAGAGAAGGGGAGAGGGCGGCTGGATGGCTTAGCAAGGCCCACCCAGGGCGGGGCAGGCTGCCAAGCCTCCTGACAGCGTGAGCAGGCCAAGGCGCCAGCTCTCCCAGAAGGGACGGAGGAGTCCTGTGTGTGTGTCAGGTGGGAGGGTCACAATGCCTTGAGGACAGGCCTGCGGGCTCAGCCCCTCCCTCTGGGGGAGGGCAAGCTCCCCTTCCCTCTCAACCCTGGGCTTGGGTGACACTGGTCAGCCCTGAAGGAGAGGGTGTCACGTGGCCCACACCACCTGCTCCTCAGGCGGCTGGCCCCAGGCCTTGTCGGACCCCAGCACCGCCCTGGGACAGGGCCCCTCCAAGGCCACAAGTAGGAAACCAGACTCCTCGTCTCCCCTGGCCCGCCCCCGCCCCCCCAGGGCCCCCAGCTGCCCAGGAGGGGCCCGGCGGCCGGCCGCACCAGCGTCTCCTTGCTGATGATGAGCAGCCCACGTGCCCCGCTGCCCTGGGCCAGTCGCACTTTCTCGTAGAAGGTGCAGTTCCCCCGCGCCACCAGGGGGATCTGGTTACTGAAGCCTTTGGCAGGGAGGTCGGCCGGAGAGCAGAGCACGGAGGTCGTCCAGTCCCGCACCTGCAGAAGAGACTGCAGGAGGGCGGCCTTCACGTGAGCCGCTCCAGGGGAGCCAGGGCGCGCAGCATCCTCGGGGAGACAGGTCGGCGGAGGCCACTGCAGTGACCACCGCCCCTACGCAGCCTCACCTCAAGCCCACATGGTCTCAGGCCCACACACGCGCGCGCACACACACGCACGTGCACAAGCGTGTGCGCAAACACACGCAGTGCACAAGCGTGTGTGCACACCCACCCTGAGCACAAGGCAGACGAGAGGGGTACAGGGCGGCGTGTGCTCAGGAACCCTCCCCACCTCTCCTGAGCCCATCACAAACAGCACAAGGCGCGGGAGGGAGTGCTGGCCTTCGTTCCACCCGCCAAGCCAGGCACTGGGCACCCTGAGTCCCTCTGGGAGGAGTGAGGCCAGAGCAGGGAGCAGGGCATCCGGGCGACCCCAAAGACAGGGCCAGGCACAGGCCCTTCCTCCGTCCTCAACGGCTCTCCGCAAGACCCGTCCTCCAGAGGCCCTCGGGAGGCGCAGGAGAGGAGTGAAGGGCGGGCGGCAAGCAAGACAGACAGACTGTGCGTCGGGGTCAGGAGGGGCTCCCGCGCTGGACGGCACTCACCGCTTTGCCGAGGTCGAGCGGCAGGCGGGCCCACTGCGGGTTGTAGAGGACGCAGTAGTCTCTGCCTTTGGGGCCCCCGGTCTCGGACAGCACATGCACCATGCCGTACTCACAGGCCACCTGGACAGCGCGCAGCAGTCAGAGCCGACACGGGGCCAGCCCCCAGCACGACCTGGCCTGGGTGGCCCCTCGCTCCGACGGCACAGATGGGGTACGACTGTCACATCTTAGTGGGGGACACGAGGAGGAGGGCAGGGCCGGGCCTCCTCAGGGAGACCTGGGTGCTGACAGTGGCTGTGTCAGGTCCCCTCCCTGTGGCTCCAGTGGCAGGAGTGGGGGAGTCCTCCCGGGACTACGTGGAGAATGAGAGCCCCACACCACTGCCATAAGGCAAGAAGGGGATGGGGAGTCAGCAGTAGCCCAGCAGGTTCCAGGCTCCCTGACAGGCCCCCACCCAGCGAGACCAGCAGGCTCAGGGCAGAAATAGGGCGGCGGAGCCCGGGTCACGTGACCAGCACCTGCTGCGCCACAGGCCGGTGGGAACCCCTGGGTCAGAACCTTGACATTCTCTGCCCAGACGCGTGGCAAGTGGACGGTGCAAGAGGCATGGCTGCTCTGGGCAGGGGGTGCTTCATGACAGATGGCGTCACCACGACCCCAGCAGGGCCCAGGCAGCTGACAGAACCTCCTCCCCAGCATGTCCCGAGCAAGTGGAGCAGCGCTCCCGATGGGCACGGGCAGCAGAAGTGCCCGGCTTCCTGGCCCACTACTCCCAGGAGGACGACAAGGCCTCAAGTTCCTCCTGCCCAGGCCCGCCAGGCAGCAGGCTGCTTGTGGAGGGTCCCACAGAGTCCACATGGACCCCGCCCGCTCTGACACGGAGCAAGGTCGAGGGCAGCTGGCTGACTGCAGAGGACAGGGCGGGCTGGGCACACGGGCCATCGGGGCCTTTGCTCCGAGTGTGAATTCAGAGTGAGGTAGAGGGGCAGGCCCCAGAGTCCTTGGAACTCCAGCCCCTCCGCTGAGGGCAGCGGGGTGGCCAGGGCCTGGGAGCGGCTTTATCTACATGAGAAACCAGTATCACACACGAGTGTCCCCACTGCCTGTTCGTCCCCTCCCGCCTGGACGGCTGCGTCCCTGCCGGGGCTGCTTCCTCCTATAGGCCGGGCTCGGCTACGGAGCCCCCGCGAGGACCTCAGCCCCAGCGGGTCTCACGCTGTCTGGCCCAGGTCTGGGCTGCTCCCTGGGGCTGTGGGACCTGTGAGGGAGGACGAGTCCCAAAGAGAGCCTTGAGCAGGGAGCCCGGCCATGCCACGCCCACAGGGGCCTGGGCCCACCCCAGCCCCTTGGCTTCTTGGAGCTGGAGAGGTCCAACTGGACCCCAACTCTGCACACTCCGGCTCCTGGGGCCATCCCTCTGTACCACCCGGAGGCCGAGACAGAGACTGCACCCCTCGGTGACAACAGGCAGTAGCCTGTCTGTGCGGGGGCAGACCCCCACCCCCATCTGGCCTTCCCAAGTTGCAGGCGGCAGTGCTCCGACTCAGCTGGGGTCCCGAGGGGCCGTGGCCCCGACAGCAGGCCTGGGGCACAGACCAGCTCAGAAGGCCAGGCCCTCTGTGAATGTGTAACGGGGCCCAGCCACTCCGGGAGCTCCTCCCCACTGATCCACATCCGCTGGCGGCGTGGAGAGGAACCGGGGCCCCCACTGCCCCTGCCCAGCGCTTGGGTTTGTCGCCTGGAGCGAGGTGCTGACAGCCGAATGGGCTGCGGGGTGTGCTCAGTGAGGCCGTGTTTGCAGGTCACATGGGCACTGCCACCAGCGCTCGAGGGAGGGAAGTGTGGTGACCTCCCCACCCACCCCTGCCTGGCCAACCTCATTCCCTCGACCAGAGGCAGGACGAGAAGCCCCCTCTTCCGGGTTCTCCCCACCAGGCTGTCCCCAAGTACAGTGCCCAGCCCTGTGCCCCCACCCCAGGTCAGCCCTGCCCTGCCCCCCACCTTGGGCCACTGCAGGGGTTCTGTGATCCCTCAACCCCCAGGCTGAATCCGGCCCACCTTCTGTGTTTGTCAATAAAGTTTTATCGTAACGTGTCTGCCTGGTTGCTGAACGTAGGGTAGGGCATATGCTGCTCTCTGCAGAGCCTGGGAGTTACAACAGAGGCCATGTGGCCTGAAAAGCCACAAATACTGTCTGGCCCTTTGGAAAATGTTTGCTGACCCCTAGTCTATGGGATCCGAGTTGCTGGTGAAAACTGTCGGTTGTATAAAATGGGAATGACTAGAAGCATTTGTTTTTAAAAAGTCACTGAGAAGCACAAGGGCACACTTCACAGCTCTCCCCTCACAATGTGCACAACTGGCTCTCTGTTAAGAAATAAGCCTGGGCTTGTATCAAACACCCGAGAACACAGTCTCGCTGTGAATACGGTCTCCTCCCCGGGGAGTTAAAGGGCTAGGAGAAGGTCCTCCAAAGGGCCCAGGGCTGTGAGTGCCCCCCGTTCCAGCACAGCCCATCCCAGTTTGGAGGACGAGAAACAGCTGGGGCTACCGAGCCCCAGGGGGCTGGCAAAGCAGCTGGGGAGGGGGCGTCCCAGAGAGCTTCTGGGAGGGAGGGACAGCTAAGCTGAGACCAGAAGCATAACCGGGGAATTCAGGGAAACAGAGACCAGCGAGCAGAGTGCCTTCAAGACACTAGAGCTGGAGAGAAACGGGAAGCTTCCTGACAGCCAGATCACAGAGGCCTCCCAAATGTGCCAGGAAGCCACCAGAAGGCTCGCATCTGGGCACAAGACACACTTTGAAAGGGATCACTCCTGCAGTGTTGAGCGTGAACTGGGGATTCAGGGGGTCGAAAGTGGCCACGGGAGAACGCCTACCGCCTGGAGCAGAGGTGGGGGCACTGGAGCAGAAGGGTCAAGGTTAACGGCCCAGTCTGTAGGGCTGTTGCGGGGCGGGGGTGGGGGGCGGTATTTCCTGAGCTGTGGAACCTGGCGGGGAGAGGGAGGCTTTGGAAACAAAAGATGCGCTTATGACAACGTACATCAGCCATTTCCTGGTCGGTCCCCCGCTAGCACTGGAGACCCTGAAGGTTTAGTGACAAACAAGTAGCATGCTGCGCGCTCGTGATCCCCTACATCGTTCTGCTGACTCTGCACTGTATACTTATCTTCCTTTTGCAGACGAGCAACGGACGCTCAAAGCGGGAAACTCCCTTGCCAAGGTCACGGGAGCAAAAGATGGGGCGGCGATTCGACCCCACTCCAGGGCTGGGCTCCTGGCCGCTTCCTGACACTACCAGACACTGGGTGCCGCGCTCGACAGTTTACCACAACCACGGGGAAAGGGCACTCAAGGGGAAACTGAGGCTCAGAGAGGGGTAGCCCCCCGGCCAAGGCCACGGAGCCAGAGAGGGGCGTCCCCGGCGGCGGTGGGAGACCCCGAGACGGACCAGCAGGGGCCGGGGCGGGAGCGGGTGACGCTGTGGCTGAGAAGGACTTCCAGGCGGGGAAGGGAGACGGGCCGGGGACAGGCCCGCAAGGTCACGACCGAGACCCGGGCCAGCGGGCCGCCCGCGCGCGAGGCGCGGATCCCCTAAGCTGGCCCCAGGCCGGGCCGGGCGGGGTCCTGCGCGGGGCCTGGGTGGGGGGCGAGGGGCCGGGATGACATGCAGTAAAGGCTCCAGGCAAGCACTGTGATTCCTCCTGTGAAAAGTATCACCATTTCGCCGCCGCCGCCATGTCGCCCGGTTCCAGCCTCAGGCGTCGGCAGATGTTTCCCAGCAACGCCCCGGCGCACGGCGCCGCGCAGGCGCACTGCGTTCTCCGCGCATGCGCGCAGGGCAGGGTACAAAGGGCGCGGCGGCGGCTCCTGCGCACAGCCACACGGCCGGCAAGATGGCGGTGAGCGTGCGGCAAGGCTGGCGGGGTTGGCGCCGCTGGCGGGGTTGGAGGGGCTGGCAGGGCCGGCGGGGCGGAGTCCGGCCGCCCTCCCCGCCTCACAGAGCTCTGTTTCCCCTGCAGGACAAAGAGAAGAAAAAGAAGGAGAGCATCTTGGACCTGTCCAAGTACATCGACAAGACGATCCGAGTGAAGTTCCAGGGAGGCCGAGAAGGTGAGGCCCCTCCGCCCGCCCCCTCCACGGTCCACGAGGAGTAACGGGCGGCGGTACCGATAACGGATGCCTGGGCTGCGCTTTAAGCGCTAGGCTTGGACAACTCGTGCTGGCCTGACGGCGCCGGCAGGTAGGAACGGTTACGCCCCTTTTGCAGGTGGGGAAACTGAGGCACGCAAAGGGTCCCCAACCTCACCGGAAGCTACAGTGGCTGGGATTCACGGCTCTGCTTCCTGTGGGTCCTGCCTCACTCAGGCGACTGTCCCAGCTCCTCACGGGTCGTCCTGTACCTGAGGGTTTCTCAGGCTCGCGCTGCTCACGTTGGGGCCGCATTTTTCTCCTTTGGGGGCCGTCCTGCTCCCACCCACTCGGTGCCAGGAGCCGCCTAGTCGTGACGTCCCAGACATGGCCTAGTGTCCCCTGGGCGGCAGAATTGCCCCAGTTGCGAACCACGGCCCTATGGTCAGTTTCCACCAAGCTGCCTTAAGGGTTTGTTTAAAACAAATCTTGTCTCCTTGTTCACGGTTGTTCCAGGGTAACGCGATGAACGTTTTGTACCTGAGTAATGCAGGGAGCTCTCGACTGCTCTGGGAAGCTTTCCCTGACCCCCACGCCTCCACCCCAGGTCAGGCCCCTGTTGTTATAAGTTCCTGGTAGCACTTGTCACAGTTTGCGGCTTTATGCCGTTACTGTGAGGCTTTAACCCTGAATTTGCTGTCGGAGTCTGGTGCGAAGATGGCAGGAAGGATGCTGTAGGGTTATGCAGGGAGCGCTGCCCATGGCACAGCCCCAGCTCACTGGCTGTGGGACTTTGGGCAAGTTGCTACCCTCTCTGAGCCTCAGTCTCCTCATTTGTCAGAGGTTATTAATTCCACTTACTTCAGTAGTGGCACTGAGATTAAAGTGTTTAAAGCAGGTAACGTGTTTTTCTTTTTTTTTTAAATAAATTTATTTATTTATTTGTTTATTTTTTGGCTGCATCGGGTCTTCGTTACTGCGCACGGGCTTTCTCTAGCCACAGGGGCTGCTCTTCGTTGCCGTGCGTGGGCTTCTCATTGTGGTGGCTTCTCTTGTTGTGGAGCATGGGCTCTAGGCACACGGGCTTCAGTAGCTGTGGCGCACATGCTCAGTAGTTATGGCTCACGGGCTCTTGAGCACAGGCTCAGTAGCTGTGCCGCACAGGCTTAGTTGCTCCATGGCATGTGGCATCTTCCTGGACCAGGGCTCAAACCCGTGTCCCCTGCTTTGGCAGGCGGATTCTTAACCACTGTGCCACCAGGGAAACCACAGGTAACGTGTTTAACAGGGTTCCCGACACTTAGTGAGAGCCGGTCAACGTTTCACTTATTCAGCTGCTTCTGAATGTCAGTTTCTTTATTTTGTAAGACAGTGATCTGGACCCCTCCTTCCCTGAGATGTGGATGACTGGGCAGCTTCAGAGGGCTAAAAACACAGCGCCTGCCGTCTAGGTACCCAATGCAGTGAGGATCAGAATCTTAACAAACACTTGGCAGCGTGCTGGCTCTGGGATGTATGAAGAGATGGGGCTCTTGCTTCTCAAGGCGCTAGTGTTCATTTTCTACGCTGAAACAACATACGTTTTTATCTCACGGTGCCTGTGGTTCCAGACTCGGGGTGCCTCAGGCTCAGGTCTCTGACGAGGTTGCAGTAAAGGAGTGTCTCTGAGAGCCTGTCATCTCAGGCCCAGGGTCCTCTTCCAAGCCTGGGGTCCCCGTTTTCTGCCAAGAGTTGGCCAGGGACCCCCTGGGCTCCTAGAGGCTGCTCATCGCCCCTGCCACGGACTCTGTCCACAGCACTGCACTTCACGTCTTCAAGACCAGCAGGAAAATCTCATTTTTGAAATTTCTTTTTTCAGAAAGGGCCCATCCCTTTAACGGCTCACCTATCAGGTCAGGCCCGCCCAGCATAGCCTCTCTTTAGATGCACTGAAAGTCGACCGACTCATGGACGTTAATGAGATCCATGAAGACGTCGGTTGCAGCCTGAGCACAGACTGACGTCCCATCGTGGGTCCCGTCCCACACTGGGGTGGGGGTGGGGGGAACGCTGGCTCTGTCTGAGCATCCTGCCCGCCTGCTGCAGCGCCCTGTCCTGGTGAGGAGGGCAGACCCGCGGGTGCAGGCTCGCTGCCCGGCTGGGGCCAAGTGCCTGCATGTGTTAGTGGAGTTGTCACTCTCTGTAACCCCGTTAGGTGGGTGCCTTCACGGTCTTTGTTCTGCAGGGGAGGGTAAGCAGGAGAGGAAGAGGGCCAGGGAGTCGCCCTCAGGCGGGGCTGGTGGACCTGTTCTGTAGGACACCACACAGGAAATATTTTCAGCTGCGCCGGCCAGATGGTCTCTTGTCGCGGCTACTCCACCCTGCCATTGCAGCAGGAAAGAAGCCACAGGCGACATTTGCCAAATGAGCATGGCCAGGTGCCAGTTAAACTGTTTACAAAACAGGCGCAGGCGGATTTTGCCGACTGTGTTGTGGTGGCGATGGTTTTGGGGTCCGCTGTCACTGCTCCCCGTCCGGGAGCCCTTCCCTTGCCTTCCCCCTGTGGTCTCCCATCTGTCCCGTCCCTGCAGAGGCTGCTCCCACACCTGCATCCGGCTGGGGAGACCCCTCACTGGCGGGGGCACCCCAATCTCACGTGCTGACACCCGGCACAGCTCGCATCTGCCCAGGATGACCGTTGATCTTACGCCTGTCTGTCTCTCTTCTCTTCTCGGTGATTCTGACAAGCCAGTGGAATCCTGAAAGGGTTTGACCCGCTGCTCAACCTTGTGCTGGATGGCACCATTGAGTATATGAGAGGTGAGTGCAGCCCGTGGGGCTCGGAGGCATCCTCGCTGGGCCTTCCTTACTGTTTGTTCCAAAGCTGCTCTGCCGCCACCCAACCGCTGTGTGAACGTGGTGCCTTGTGGACCACATGGCTGACAGATCTGTTGGATCTCCCGCGGTCCCGGCGAGGCTCAGTAGACCATTGTCTCAGGACTTGGTATCTTCCAGATCCAGTCCTCACCAACACTGAGCACCTGCTGGGGCTGAGGCATGCCCAGCGGGGCTAGAAAGATGCTGCGCCTGCCGTGAGAAAGCCGGCTGCCCTGTGGCTCGTCCTGCCCCCTTATCTCCTGCTGTCCCTGTGTGTTAACCCCCGGCTGCTGACGGAGGGCCCCCTCCCCCTGATTCCCTGTCCCCCCAGGTCCCCAGACCCTTCGCATGGTGGTCAGGCCAGCCCTTGCCCATCAGCCAGCAAGTTCTCCAGCTCAGCCTGACCGTGGCATGAAGGGGACCGCAAGGCCTAGGAGAGAGGGGGTGTCTTTTCTGGGGACTGTCGATGTTGAGACACATGTTAGTCTGGTGAAGAGTTAATGGAGCCACACAGAAGTGTCAAAGGGCCCCCAGGGAGAGGCCCTCTTTGTGGGGAAGCGACCCCGTGGGGCCTCTTGCGTTGCCCTCGTCTTCCCTCTTCGCACTGAGTCTGCCCAGAGTCCCCCGCGCCAGGATCCTGGCCTGGCCTCCTTGGGCGGATGACTTTCTGGAAAAGGACAGCCTCACCTCGAGGGGC